GACTTTAGCTGGAAGACGCTGAAACAACAGTGCTGCTTATTTTTACTGGCATTGTGGCTGTGTTTATTAACTGACTGAGGAGCCACAACATATGTGGAACATCTCTGAGCTCACAGACCTCTGAATATGACCGGTCAGTGCATTTAGAGTAAATGTACATGACTGAATACAGACAGAGCTGAACAACATATTGTTTGGTAACTGTCATCACGATATCAGCTTTTGCAATGTCTCTACTGTAGAAGGCTGCAATATGCAAATAAGCCTTTGAACCAATCACTGTGTGTGCTGTGAGCTTCCTGACCACTGATTACAGTTCCAGATGAGTCTTTCTGGGTTTTTTTGATGCATCAAGGTGTTTTTATATAAACTTACCAAGTCCAAGAATTGTTTACAGTGGTGATGGGAACCAGGCATCTGAAGAGATTCTAAAATATCTCTTACATAATAACTGAAATTCATTTTAATAGTTTTTGGGTAAGATTTTTGCTTAAAACATTTTTCAAATCTGTATTTATCAGAGAGGTATACGCATGGCAATGTGCAGCAAACTAGTCCCCAAAGAAAACTATTCTTTTCAGATTCACCACTATGTAACCATTAAAACTCATAAAAACACGTGTATGCTCACTGGTCATTTTGGTTCCTATCAGCACCATTGTACGAGAAACAGAATTGTTAATTTTCTCCACAAGAACCCATTCTGAAAGGCTCTGTTTACATCTCAACCATTGAATCATGCTGCAATTTTAAAACTGGTGAAATATCCCTTTAAAGAACAGTGCATGTCTCATTATACACCTGTTCAACTGGATTTACTGCAGTACCATATTGTTGCTGTCCAAAGAAAAACATCTCCATTTTTGGTGATTTTTATTTTTCTACATCATATTGAACACAGGGGTTCTCCTTTACATTGTGTGACAATTTATGATGATCAGACCAATAGAAATGCCCTAAAATTAATTAGGATAAAATCTTTTTACATTAATATACATTAAAAGATAAGGGTGTTTTTGCCCTTTCCTGTAAAGTTACTATTTTGGAGATGCTTGTTTTTCTTTGGACAGCGATGATATATGAAGATTTGCATAAAAAATAAAAAAACATCTTTTGAAAGATTTTTTTTTTTAAATGTGGCACTACTGGTACTTATTTTTCCAATCGACAATAAAAAGAAAAAATTATGCTCTAGTTTTCACAGCCTCTACACGTCAGGCAGCCCTCGTTACAGAGTTAAGGATTTTTTCCTCCTTTTTACACCTGCTTGATTCTGATGAGGTGCCTGTGCTCATGAATAGCATGCATTAATTGCAGTCCATTATGATTAGCTTATTAGAGTCTAAAAGTGTGATAAGACGTAATATGTAATTAATTGTGCAGCAGCAGAACCTTCCCTAACGCAGCCTTGACTGCTGTGAGAAAGCTCAGCCTTTCACTCCACTGGAACGCTTCTGAGAAAGGCAAACATAAAGATTTCACCGCACAAGCAGTGTTTATTATGATATGCATTGAATGCGCAGCCCATATGGAGGGAGAGCGCATTTCAAAAATATCATCACCGCAAATAATATACTGAGACTGTTATTACCGGCACAGAGACAAACAGCAAATGCAGTCTTTTTCCATAATACCTCCGGAACGGGCCCAAAGCTGAAGGCCCGTGACCTGAACATTTGATCATGAACAGCAGTGCTGTGGGTGGCGGGAGGTATATTAAAACATGCATAAACACACAAACTCCCAATAAATAATCTGGACAGAAAACAAAACAGGACCGGTCCCTGAGGAGTGGCCTTTGGCCTCAGGGCTGATACCAGGATGGATGAGAGGACATTTATATTTCCCTGTTGGGTGCTTGGACGGAGAACACACAGAGCTGTAGCATATTTCACCCTCAAAACCCAACTTCATTTTAATTATTATGTCTGCGGCGAGTCGGCCAAGCCAAGTCAGCTTCTCTGAATGATTTCTTCAGCATCCTGTGTCTCACATCGAATTTATCGGATTTAATTTCTTTAATGCGAAATTGTCTCAGTGAACTATATAACCTTAACCCAAGCAGAAATGCATTATTCTACACAGATCTATGCTGCTGAGTAATGTTAAATTCTGATGCCAGCTGGGTTTCTCTCCTCTCTCTCTCCCGCCCATCTCTGATGTGTGTCAGAGGTTATCATATACGCAGCCTGAACCATTTATTACAGTGAGAAAAACCCGGAGCCAGTGACTCCACCCTGTCTCGTTTTCTCTCCCTGAGGTTTTGAGTGCCTGCTGCTCCATCTCACATTCCTTGGAGCGGTAGGAGAACCACTTTTGGTTCCCTTAAGCATCGTTCAATGGATGGTTCTTGAAAAAGGAATCTAGTGCAAGGTCACTTAAAACATACTATAATTTAAAAGCATGTACTTAATAAAATAACTTGCTGCTTAGCTAAAGAACTTGGAGCTGTACTCTGGACACTGGACTCTGTTACAAGTGAGTTTTGAGTCAATGGGTTTTCCATTCTTTTCTAAGTACAGGGTAGTCTTGCAATCTCGCAACAAGGAGAGAAGCGTTGGGTTAAATGTGGGTAGAATTATCAGACTGGGAGCAAACTAAGTGGGAAATTATCTCAGGCTACAACTCACTACACAAGAGCTCAGGGTTTGCACTGTGGTTGCACTGTTTGTACATCGCCTTATCTGAATTCATTTGCATTCCGGTCCAACAGTAATGACAATACTAACACCTTAAAAATAATTTCAGCAGATGAACCGGTATATTGCCCACTACTACTGGTGGGTATGACACCAGGTGGCCAATCAGTTACATCAACAATTCAATTAACTACCAGTGATTACAGAATCCAAGACTGGAACCTGGATTTGAGGTACAAGGGTGGGTTTTAGAGTAAGCATGCCCTTATTTGTGGTAGATCTGGCGACAGTCCTGAACCAAAAGTTTAACAATTTGACCTTAGATGTGTCCTCAAAAGACTAAGATTACAGAGCCACATTAAAGTTATTGTCTATGGTAACTGATTCTATGCTACATGTGCAACAAATAGAGATTAGGTAGAAAAACCACTTGAGTATTACTTCAAAAGAACCATCCACTGAAAGGTTCTTTATGGAATCAAAAGTGGTTCCAAAGAACCCCGCTGTCCTGAACGCCGGCACAGCCGTAACCACTCGGGTGTGACCGTCAGTAGCCCGGTGGTGGAAAGAGAAAGTGGAAATGCAGACTGTAACTTGTGCAGGATATTTTCATAAACTCAGCAGTGACCATATTATTCTTTAAACATCTCCAGCTGTTCCCTGCTCACAGATATGGTGAGTCATAAGGTGGTGGACTTTTATTATTGCTTGCGGGTTGTGCGCGCGTGTGTGCGCGCGCCTTGGAATGAAGGGTGAATGCTTTCTATGGGTTGCAGTATATCTCCTTGCAGGGGAACACATGTGCAGCAGTATGATAGGATTAAATGCAATTCAACCCCCCTAAAGCTTCATTGGCACATTCTAGCTCGCTCTGCCACGGCTGACATTCACTCGCAAAACCACCTGTGGCACTGCTTACACACCGGGATTTTTTACGAATATCAGTTTTCAGAACTGAGTAATGCTTCCGTGCTTCTGCACGGTGACCTCACACTCAATACAGGAATCGTCAGTGGCCCAACTAACTTTATGTCATCGTCGCTGTTGTGACAACAGCTTGTATACCTGAAGGGGTAACTTTTAGCGGTGTAATAATGCAAGCATGCAATGAACTCTACAAATCTAATTATATGCTACCCAGATTAAAGGAGTGGATTACACTTATCCCAGTCGATCAGCCAAGACATGTTTGATGTCTGAATTTTCCTTCTAAACTGGAGCTAAGAGGTTATTACAAAAGCCAATAGTCATCCAAATCTTTTCAGTAAATACATTTCCAAAACTTCTCAACCGGCTTCATTCAGGTCTTCACTGAGGTTGCACAGACTCGTCAATGTGGTTTAGGACACGGTATGACTTACTGTGAACTATAAAAATGAGCAAAACTTCACCCGCAGTCAGCCAGTGAGTGAGTATGTAACAGGTGGCCTCCCTTCCTGTGCAGCATGTCACAGGCATATGGATGCTAAACATTACATTTTGCAATTTCAGTTGTTTCTTTGTATTAATACTGTTAATCTATGTTTTATCTGTCTATGATGATAAGTTTAAAAATAGAAACAACAGAAAACATGATCTAGTATCCATACGCCTGCATGACATTCATGCATGTGAAAGGGAGTTGGATTCTGCGCGGGAGTTGGAATTCAGCACAGCATCTGTTGTCTTAAGTGGCTGCCCGCAGTGTTCAGCTACATGGTTTTGTTTATTTTTATAGTTCACCATAAGCCATACTGACCTCTAAAGCACAGAGACCAATCTGTATGACCTTAATTAATACCTTAAAGCAGTTTGAGCGAGTTGAAAGTTTCAGAGAGGCATTTATAGAAAAGATTTAAGTGACTATTGGCATCTAGTGTTTGTAAGCAATGTTAGCTTTGTAGCTTAAGCACTAAACTAAAGGGAAATCTGGAAACAAAACGTCTTTGCTGATCAGTTACATCTGAGGTATATGGATTTTTTTTTCCGAACCATTTCCTTTAACTATGCTCACACTGGTTTGGCTTTGAACAACATAAGCCCCAAAAATGCAATCCCTAGACAACATTGACTACATTTTTGACCATTTCTGTTTGTCCACTCTTTATGAAAATGTTCACACAATGTAAAGAACAGCTAGTGTAAAATATAAAACCTGAAAAAAGTTACAAGGATTTGCTATGCCACAGACATGATGGTTCCTCTCCAACCACATGCAGTCAGACACCGTATCCACCGCTGTTCAAACACCCTAAATTCAATCAGGTTACTGCTATCAGCGTAGCTTCCATCGACCATTACAACCGTCCCTCACAGCTGGCTGTTCCACACTCACATGTAAAACCAAACTCACGCACAGATGGAGAGTCATAGCGCTTTTACCTTTTTAAGGTGGCCCGTGCGGGTCCCTACGAACACCACCGAGTGATCTCCGTATGTGTAGGCAGCCACGGCAGCCATGCCATCTGTGCGCTCGTCGTACAGCGGCATCCCCTCGATGACCCGAAGCCCTCCCAACGGCTGGTTCAGCACCAGGCCGCAGAAATCGTCGCCGATCTGCTTTGGCTGCAGATGGAAAACAACAGACATGGTTAAGAGAGATAACATGGACCCAGAGCAAACCTTTACATGCATAGCTGGGGTTGCTATCTACCTATTTTCTCTCCTTCTATCTTCTGACAAGGAAAATATCAAAATGTTATAAACATACTTTATACCCCCCCCATGACAGTATGTAGATCCATTTATTTTAAATATATATCTATAAAAAATATATTGTATTTTATATTAAATTTAGATTTGATTTTAGATTTATTTTTAAGATTTTTATTTTTATTTTAAAAGTTTAGTCAGTTTTACACTGTCATGATGGTATGTATATCATTTTTTTTTTAGACGTACAGCATATGTCAGTATGGACCTTTATTTTAGATTTGTTTTATTTAGAATAGTTTGACGGGTATTAGACTCATTTGTGTTACAATACGTCTGTAAAAATATATATGTATTATTTTGTTATACAAACTAATTTATATATTTTAATTCTATATTTTTTTCTGAACCTTTGGCACCACCATGACAGTATCATTTTTAATATTTGTTTGACATATACAATATATCTGTAACAAAACAGATTTATTTTTATTTAGATTTGACTGATTACACACACACACACACACACACACACACACACACACACACACACATATATATAAGGTTTTTTTTTATTTAATGGAGTTAATATATATTTAGTAATAACTAAAGTTTGGTAAGGGGACAATAATCTCTTCCTTCCAACCAAACATTCTATAAATTTACCTTCTCTACCTGTGTTTCCTGTGCCAACGAGTTATCTCCCTTCCATCAATCACACAGTCTCTTCTCCTTTTCTCATACTACAACCATCTCGTCCCAACTCACAAAATGTGTTTTGACAGATCAATTTGTGCTAGACATACAATATCTGTAACAAAATATATATAAGTGCAATGGTGCTAAAGACCCAAGCTACACACTAATGGTTGATAAAACACCCTGCATTTAAGAGTTAACAGGTCATTGGAGCACAAATCTGGTGATTACTTTTGTTTATTGCACTGAGACACATGAAAAGCGCATCTGGGCAAACAGAATCAGCTAAAGGCCAAGGCAGTAGAAACTGACAATTAATCTGACCTTGGGAGGTTACATAGGCCTCTGTTGACAAGCTTAAGTGCCTGATATGGTATCTGGGGGAGGAAGTGGGGGGAGGAGAGAACCCCCTCAGCAGGAGGCTCAGAGGAGAGGGCTGTGGGATTATACTGCCACTGACACACACCCATCCAACAGACATGACATCATCCAGCTCCGTGGCTCACCGAGAGGAGTTCATCACTTTGGACATGCCCTTTCTCCAAAGAGCCCCCAAACAGCTCACAAAAACACAGCTCTGACGGCCATAATAGGGTCCAGCCGACATGGAAGTGGGGGGAGGGTGGGGGTGGTGGGCGTTGGAACAACGAAAATCACCACTCGCCATTTTCTGATGGGAAGCCGTTCAGGAAGACTTATTCAAAAATCAATTGTGTTAGCGAACATCTGCAGGATATCGCCAGGCCTAATGATGATGTCATCGAGCGCTGACCCACTCCTCCGCTCATCCGGTGAACTATCGACTGTTTCAGCCTCACTACAGTCACGGCGGCTCCTCTGTCACTTTTTCTCCTTTCCACCTTGCTCTCTTACCCCACATAAAGATTCACTCTCCTCAGCGACGCTCAAGCGGAGGTCGGCCTACCCTCCAGATGACATCAGCAGCACTAATGCCCTGCCATCCTTTTACCCGGGCGTTTGATTTAACACTGCAGCCTTCCGTTCAGACTGTGCCTCCCGGGGGCAGATATAACTCAAACGCTAATGACGGTCTATAATGCTCATGGATGAAGGTGATGCAGCACATTTTTCTGTGGTAGCGTCTGGCTTCTGCAGTTAAACCTGCTATTTGTGCGCTGACCTGAGGCCAGTGTTTCTGTTATGATGCTATGCATCATAACGCTGGAGGTTGTGATTAGAGTGATCCCGGATCAGCATCAAGGCCAGAGCTAAATAACCCCACAAACACCAGCATTCGTGTTAGAAAAAGAACAGACAAATCAAATGAACCATAAACTGGGGAGAACATTCTCAAACAGTGGGAGGAGAACAACGTGAAAGGAGGGGAACGTTCTAGAACAGCAACAGCAACAGTGTGAATGGGGAAGAATATTCTAAAACTGTGTGAATGGATGGAGAACACTCTAGAACAGCACGAATGGAGAACTGTGTAAAAGAAGGGGGAACGTTCTTGAACAGCACGAATGGAGGAGAACTGTCGTGAATGGAGGGGAACATTCTAGAACAGCACGAATGGAGGAGAACTGTGTGAAAGGAGGGGAACATTCTAGAACAGCACGAATGGAGGAGAACTGTGAAAGGAGGGGAACATTCTAGAACAGCACGAATGGAGGAGAACTGTGTGAAAGGAGGGGAACATTCTAGAACAGCATGAATGGAGGAGAACTGTGTGAAAGGAGGGGAACATTCTAGAACAGCACGAATGTAGGAGAGCAATGTGTGAATGGGGATAATATACTTAAACAGTGTGAACAGACCAAATCAGAATGTTTATAAACATGAACGTTGATTGTACTTCCTGGTGGATAAACGCATCAAGTCAGCGGCAGAAGCAGCTCATTTTAAGTAGGTAAATACAAACAGTACAGACTGAACCAGAACATGGTCAATAATGATAAAATGTTGTTGAGTTTGAGGCTGTAATGCCAAATATTTAGGGGGAAATAGGCTCCATATGCCTCCAAGAAGTGTGAAGGTGCCCCATGTTTTCTGCTATTGCTGAGAAAGAGAGTGAGAAAGAGAAAGAGAGAATGAAAAAGTCTGTTAGGAAAACTACATTTTGCTCTCTGCTTTATCTACCCCATGGTTCTCTCAGTTCTCCTTATTTAAATTTTAAACATTTCCCCTCATCCCCATCTACAGCCAGGAAACTGAAACAGGGAACGGGGTCACACATACACCCAAGAACATACTGATTCAGGTTTAGGTTTTTCCCTATTTTCCAGCTGACTGAACGTGAACACATTGGTGCTAACGTAACAGCTATTAGCATTATGATGACTTATAAAGTTACATTTTTTTCATTAAAGACCGCAGTGAAAATGAATGGCTGGTGCATGTTCATGATTAAATGAGACAGAATTAACCCCATGCAGTCCAGGTAATGGTGAAGTTATCGGAATGGGAAGTTCAGTCTAAAATAGAACAGACTTGGTAGCACACAGCGTTTGCCAATAGCAGCAACGACGCCATTAGGAGCGCATAGCTAGCCAATATTTAATAAGGAATATGTAGAGGTACACCCTAACAGAGTATTAAAATGTTTTATCACAAGATCACTGAAAAAGTTCTTGTTTTCTCCAATATTTTGGTTAAATAGCTCTCAAATAAGTATAAGAATTGGTATAAAATCCTGTTGCACCAGTGCAGCACTACCAGCGTTATCTACCCAGAAGTAAGCATGCTGACTTATCCTATAGGGGAGAATAGTCTAGAATAGCGTGAATGTAAAAGCACAGTGTGAATGTGGAAGCATGTTTTGAAACAACGTGAACGGGTGGAGAACGTTGCAGGTAGAGCACATCAACCAAACATGTGGGTTTGCTGTTGTTTGTTGGTGTTTGTTAGGTCGTTGATCTTTGGCCTCAAAGGAGGAATCTGTACTCCTTGGCTTCGTTCTTTGTCCCAGCAGCCATCTTGGTGATCATAGGGTGGTTCGGGGGGGGCTGTGTGCGCGTGTGTGTATGAGTGATTGCTAGTGGGGATGGGCAGGGTTATAGGAGCGCCTTGTTTTTCTGCATGCTTATGAAGGATAAATGTACTAAACGAGGCAGGAGCACGCACACCCTCATTATGAGGCGCAGGGCCGCTGCCGTGCATGAGAACGGCCTAATAATACCCCTGCAGCAGCCCAGCACCCATTTGCATCAGTCATGGGGAACCCTGGAGCTACCTAATAAAAACAAGCACAGCCACTCCTACATAGAGGAAGCAGGTCATCGGGCTCTTTCTCTCTCTCTCTCTCTCCCTCTCTCTCTCTCGTCCATCTGCTCAGACTGGCCTGAGAGGTGTCGTGCCATTGTTCTCAGCACCATTACACAGCTAGACAAATCATTGTCTGTGCTAACAATAAAAAAAAAAAAAATCTCTTTTCAAAAACATTTCCCATGTCCTAGTTCTCCATTTTGGCCGGGTGTGAGCGCAACATTATGTTGATGTTACAGCCTTTCTGGAAAGCAATACTGGTAGAGCCACTAGTGCTTTCCAATGCATGGGCTTGCAAGCCAAAGCATATGAAGTAGTCTTTACACGGTCAACACCCATCAGGACAACTTAACCTCTAAATTAGATCCGCCATATTTTATGCGAGAAACTGTTAGCGATATTAGCCAATAAAACAACATTAAATTCCTCTTAGGCTTTATGGATTACTAAAACATAACACTGGGATGTGGCTTCAGCAGAGTATTTTGCAAGTACAACCAAAACCAACATTCCCGCCTTCATATACACTAAACAGTGTCATGTTGAAAAGTATATGTAGGCTGTACGTTTTAAAAGGGACCCAGAGGCAAGCTTCAAGGCAAATAAATAATATAAAATCATAACTGCAGCTGTTATTCATCTTTTCTCAGTCAATTACGCCAGATAAATATTTAATCTTTTATAACAGTAATAATCTAGAGAGAGTACTCAGAGGTAAATTAGATCCACGATACACTCGACTCGTTTCAAATGTCATATTCATATTGCCTCCGACGTCCAGCCGTCGCCGTCCCCTGGAGTGATAAGCTGGGCTTCACCATCCTGTTTACCTTCCATGGATTTTTCATCATCCGTACATTACGGCAGATCAAGTCATGTAATCGTGTTAAACGGCCTTCTCCTAACATGCACACTCACTGATGAGCCTGCATCAGATCATAATAAGGTCAGTGAACGTCATACATGACATCCGCAAATTGGCCTTTTAGGAAAACAAACAGACAAACAAATGGGGGAAGTGAATTATTGATCAAACAGATCATTGATTAAACAGAGTCAGAGTGATACTTAAGCATGCTACAACCCAGGATCGAAATTATCCTAATAAAGGACGTTCATAAAGAGAATTAAGGTAATGTAAAGTCCATTAAGACAGCAGCTTCAGATAGAAGCATTCTCTTCACTAACTTCAAGTATTACTATACTCAGTTGTGTTATAAGTACTATAAGTACAGACCAGGCCTTCAGTCTTATGTTATGGATGGTGAAGTGATTGTATAAGAACACAGATCTCTACGAACCAAGGGCTGGAGTTCTGAGCGGCTTCCACTTTATGGTTGAAGTACGGACCCCTGCCTGCTAAGCACTTGTGTGCTAGTGAGCTAATCGGCCTCTGTGAGCTAATTGGCTAGCAACGCAGTTTTTTTTGAGAAGTTTAAAGAAAAATGTACACACTATTTGAGAATAATTGCTTTGTCAGGCTGAACACTTGGTGTAGAACCGTGGTGCGGTGCCTTTTTGTTGTTGTTAGCTGTGTAGCGTATAGCATGCTAACTAGCAATTTTGCACAGTAAAGTGATGAAGTTGTATCAGAAGAAATCAAAAATGTTATGGCTTTAAAATACTAAGCATTTTAAAGTAGTTTACTGCTATGGATTATGAACAGCTTTGTATGCCACTTTTGGGGGGGTTTAAACAGGTAAATGCGTCAGGTCGCAATGATTTCTGGGTGAGTTTCTGCTGACAAAGTCAACACGTGTTCACTTGATCCACCACCCCTCCAAGGAAGGGTCCATCTAACACACTTCACTCAAGCTAATAAAGTAAAGGAATGGCCCAGGGAGTTCCCCGGGGGAAACAGCAAGGCCAAGTGGATGAGGGCATGTCAAAAACAGTACTGACACAAGGGGTATGATAAGTCTATGCACTCATTGACGATTAGCTAAAAAGGCGCGTCTGCAGGCCCCACTCTCTTAACCACATAACTTCGTATTAGTATCGTAGTAGCCGCCAAATAGGCTAAATTTAATTTAATAAAATGAGTAGTAAGTCTTAAGATTAAAAACTGCATAAATTTAGAGTCGAAAGGTGAAAACAAACCAAACAGAATGAGAATAAGCTTTATCTGCACTCACCGTGTTGATGCAGGGAAGTTCCTTATTGAGCAGCCATGGTAGAGACAGCTTCCCTTCGCCACGGTAGCAGGACTTGATCCTCTCACGCATGGCCAAGTTGATTTGGTGGAGGGTAAAGAGACACAGCACTGTCTCCCTGGGTGGATTTGACCGGTTCTTCTGTCCCTGGGAGAACACCACAAAAAGCACGTCCTCATCTTCTGAAAGACCCAGCGCTTGGGCCAGCGCCTTGCCCGGCCGGTGCTTGTAGGCAGCCTGGACTAGGCGGTACTCTGCGCCATCCTTGTTGCAACCGAGCGGGAACTCTACATAGGAGTAGAACTCTGTGTCATTGGAGCACATCCGGACAATCTTGGAGGTGAAGAACTTCTCACCGGAGGCATCCATCTGGGTGAGCTGAGTGTCCAGCTGCAGCGTAAGGAAGTAGATGTAGGTGCGGCTGGAGAAGCCGTAGACATAGTAGATGTCAAAGGCCGGGTACAAGGATAGAGTGTCAGAGGGAATCTTGATCTGAGAGGAGACAAACTCATCCTGGTAGACCAGGCTGAACATGCTCAGGCTGTCCTCGTCCTCCACCAGTTTGCGACTGGACAGGGTGGGGAAGTATTCCGACTTGCCGTCAATGGCAGCGCCAATAAAGAGCCTGCTGTCGCCCTTCTTTTTCTTCTTTGGATCACCCCTATCATCATCGCCCACAACAACTCCTGCCATTCCATCTGCCTCACGTGCTCCAGAAAGGTAGTGCTCCTTGCGTGAGTGAGGTTCCCCCAGCTTGAAGAGATCATCCAATCGGAGGAACTGGCACACTCCCTGCCAGATGCTGCCACAGGCCACCAGCCGGTTACCAGCGTAGTCGATGAGCAGAAGCTTGTTGACGTTGTCGGAAGGCTCCAGCTTGTGGACGCAGGCGCGGACGTTGGGCGGCGGGTAACACTTAGCATTGTCTTCCATAGGTCCTGTCTGGTGTGAGCGTAGCTCTGTCAGGTTGGCCGACAGCTTGTAGACTCGGTTGACGGCACCAACAAATACCTCACCCGTACTGCGGTGAACAGTTAGGTGCGTGAGGCTTGTGTCCTTCACCCGGAAGGTGAAGCCTGTCTCCATAGGTGGCCCGGTGGGGGTTGCCGGGAATGCCACGATGGTCCCCCAGAGAAACAAAAAGCAAAACGTCAACAGCCTTGAGAGCTTCATGATTCCAAAGCTTTCTTCTGGTGAGGGGATGAGACAGAGCTCTTCCCTCAAGCTTTTCAAAGACTTTCTTTTCTTAGCAGTTTCAGTAGGTCATGTCTAGAGGAAAAGAGAAAGAGAAAAAACGGAACGGCCGGGTTAGTTTCAAAATGGATTATGCAGGGAAAAGGCAAAGTCTTATCTTTAAAAGTTTAATTGCATTAGGCAATGAGTGGGAAAGTTTTATAACCCCACGTTCAGATTTTCTGCGCTTTTGCAGGAGTCCCACTCAATCCATCCATTTGAAGGCATTAATGTCTCGGGGTGGACACTGAGCCAGTGGGGGGGACAGCTGGGAGAAGAGGGGGCGTTCAGGGTGAGAGTGGTTTGGGGCGGGGGGTAAAGTATTGATCGAGTGGCTTCTGTTGATGCCAAGCCTCGCCACTCCCACTCCTTTCACTCAATGGATTGCTAATAAACCTTTACAGCCATTGCTACGCTAATCCACAGTACATTTGTTAATTAGGCAGCAGCACTTGACCAGGCTTAGGGAAATGACAGAGGCCAGGGCGAACATATAGAGGGAAACAGTGAGGGAAAAAAACAGGACGTGCTGGACATTTCTATAGTATATTATGTTAACAGGTCAGAATGTTTAACATAAGTGGCCTGTAGATCAAAAGGATGGCTCTTCTGCTCAATCACCACTCCCCCTCTACCAGGCACAGTGGCAGAAATGAAAGTGATGCTTACGGCTTTCAGCTTCTCTCCCCCGCCTTCTCGCTCAGTCGCCCTTTGTTTCTCACTCCCTGTCCCTCTCTTACTTCCTCTTTGTCTATCCCCTCGTCTTTTTTCACTCTGTCTTTCACTAGCTCCCTCTCAGTTGTTGCTCTCTCTCCCGTTCTCTCTCTCTGTCTCTCTTTTAACCATCTTAGCTGGGTTAGGAAGGGTCAGGCTAAGCTCACACAGGAAGAATGAGGCTTTACTCACTCCTCAGATTCAGCGGTTTGAGGTTTCAGAAGGGTTTTTTTTCTTCCCTTCCTGCAGCTGGCAGCGGCCTTCGAGCCAGCCTTAAATTTGGGCCGGGGAGGCACACGCCCAGGCCATTGCCAAGTCATTTTGTTTTAGTTTTAACTTTCCATCAGCGAAGTGATGTAAATCACGGCCGCACGATAGCCAGTGCTGGCAACACAACTGAATTCCAGCCCCGTGAGATCCTATCAGAAACCTTTTCTCGCCACAGCCGAGCCCCTGTTCGTTCAATCCACCCATGTGTATAAATAGCCTAAAAAAGGAATGTCTGGATTATTTAGCCAATCTAGTCTAATTCCAGTGCGGCCTATATGCTAACGCGAGTGAGAAGTATGAAAATTGCTTAGCCACTATCTATTAGGATAATGCTCTACTGGCCTTTACAGCACTAATGAACCCTAATTAATCAAAAACAACATTCCTATATGCTTCCGTTCCCGTAAGTCAGAGATGGAAATATTGCAAAAGGAATGATTCGGCATCACCGCATGGGCTGCCGCCTTCAGGTTTGATGCAGAGTTGGAGTTCATTGCCCATTGTAATCCGGTGATATATTGTAATACATTTCCTGACTAGTGGAAGACGCTATTGAGCGGCAATCACGGTGATTTGATTAGCGCAGTGGAGGCACAGGCTGGTGCCAGGAGGAAAACGCTGAATGATGCTGCAGCTTCTTAGCTGAGCTGAATGCTCCGAGCACGTGCTGATGGCTGCAATGGAAGGCAGAGTTTAACAAGTCAAATGCGCTCTTGCGAAGGTAGGCCGTCTATCGAGGCTACAGCTTTCTTTTCACATCCAAATAAGTCTCCATTAGCTCCATTCTTTTCATAGCGCATCTAGTTGTTTTCACGAAGTCAAACACTCACTGGGTGGCCCCATGTTTTAATTACGTCTAAAGAAGTGCTGAAAAAAAGTCCTAATTAATCAAAGATTAAACCATTTCACTACATTTCCAGCGTCTTAAAAAAGAAACTTCAGTGACCACATTAAATAAACATAATGAAACCGCCAATAAGCAAGCTCTGAAAGCTATTATGTTTGTACGTCAGCACTTCAGTCTGCGTCTGTGATGAGGAGCAGTTTTCTGCACAAACCCAAATATTTTTTTTTGAAGATGTCACAGACACGCTTTAGTGCTCTGCAAGTTCTTCAGGCACATCAATATTTCTGACAAATGCCCCCTCGTGACTCCTCTGCCCGAACTGCACTGGAAACAGGGAAGCGTGTGGAATCCTGATGAGATTCTCGAGCACTTTACACACAAAAACCTGCAGCGTTCGGGATGTACACAACCATGCTCAGCCTTTCCAGCGCCCAGGTGAAACCAGCTCGCCCAATGCCCTTTGTTTATTGTGCTAATTTTAGCCCAGCACAGCATCTGTTTGGCCATCATTGTCTGACACTGATGAATTAGCATTTCAATGAGAACAATCAGGAGCAGGAGAACCTAGTGGACCCTAGTATGAGATTAAAAACACTATGTTGTGTGAAAATCAAATTTACAACATTTTGCACTTCCCCAGTGGGAGTCAATCAGCCAAGATGTGTTTGGTGCCCAAATTTGTATTCTTTAGTTTGAAACTAGAGCTACAAGCTTACATTTCTAACAAACAACATAACTCAATAGTCACCCAAAATTGTTTTAGCCATTTTTATATTTCATTATATATGTTTATGTCGTGAGGATGTATGTACAGAAAAGATTTTTGTGACTATCGACTAGTATTTCTAAGCTACATTAGCCACGTAGCTCTAGCACCAAAATGAGGAAATTTTGGACGTGAAACAAGTCTTGGCTGATCGGCTACTTCTGGGGTAAGTCAAAAATAAATTGGATTTACACAATTATTCTATTAACGCTTCACTCTGAGAAATAATCATTTTGTGTTCATTTAGTTAATACATACGTTTTAGGTTAAAAATATTTTGCTTTTCAAATTGTCTATAGATCTCTGATGCTCAGCATCATTTTGCAGTCAGCAGCATGTCCATACAAGGAACTCACCATATAAGGTATTATGTGAGTACTGTGTGTTTTTTTCTCAATGGGGAAAATGAATAACACCAAAGATCGCTGTTATTGTGCTTTGTGGTAAACAAAAATGTTCCAAAGCTGAAACGTTTGGTCCTGCATACAATCTTCCTCCAAACATCACTGTATTCGTAGTTAAATTACAAATACTGCTACATACATGCGATAAGCAAGCTAAGTGCTGGGCATTAAAATGACAATGCATGAAAGTAAATGTAATGCTATAATTCAACTCTATTATATAACAATACCAGCTACCCATAGCCTCTATTGCCAAAGCCACTTAACCACCACATCTGGGAAATGTGGTGGTTAAGTGGACTTGTGATTTCAACTCAATCCGCATGACTGTTAGCTTGTTTGAAGCAATCATCATATTTAGACAATTCAACAACCTCATAAATCAAAGGATCCAGTGACATTCAGAGGAAAGAATGTACGTAGAACAAAAATCTATAGACGATATTTTTTAACATAGTGATTTTCGTGAATGGCCTTCATTCTCCATATAAAGAGAAAAGGCTTCGACACAAAGTCCCTTATATGGGCATGTAGACAATTACAAACTGATGACAAGACTTCAGAGGTCCACTGGGCTATTTGTTGTATTGCAAAAGGTAGTTTTCCCCAAGCAGGTAGGTAGGTAGATAAACAGACAGATAGATTCTTATTTCTATATTACTTGTATTCTACATTGTGTGACAAAGGGCCTGCCATACACATTACAGAAAGGAGAGAGAGAGAGAGAGAGAGAGTGAGAGAGAGAGAGAAAAAGAGAGAAAGAGAGAGAGAGAGAGAGAGAGAGAGAGAGAGAGAGAGAGAGAGAGAGAGAGAGAGAGAGAGAGAGAGAGATCACTAGTCCACCTAATCAAGGACTCCAAAACACTGGTCTCTTCACACCACTTTTGTAATGAGGGTCAACAGCACTTGATTAGAAGAGAGAAGGAGGGGGGTGAAAAACGAAATTGCTCTCTTCACGGGATTAGGAAGCCATTCTGTGTCTCTTTCACTCAGTCTCACACACACACACACACACACACACACACACACACACACCCCAACCATGCTGAGACTAAGCACCGGCTTAGGCAGACGATGAAAATATCAAAAGAGCAAAAGATCTGATTTCTGCAAATCTTCCATATTTGTAGCTTCGCGTAATCCGTTTAGAACTAGTTTTATTCATTTTTATGCTTTCCTCCAATTTAGTTAGAGTCATTTCCTGCAGCAATGGGCCTACAGCCACTACACAACAATACCAGCATTCTGCTTTCTCTGATGTGTACAAAACCCACTGTGGGACCATGCAGGTACACAGGTGAATGGCACATTGCAATGGGAGAAAGAAAGAATCGCTGCCTTTCTAGCTTCTTGTTGTGAACACGGCCAAATCATGGTCTCATACCATTCCAGCCAATGACAGCACGTCCAACTGCACTCTTCGTAGCCCTCCAGGTGGCACATGGCACAACTGGGATTTGAACCTGAATCCCCATAGCCTGTCAATGTAACACACAGAGGGACTTAGCCTGGCATGTGTTCAGATTTTTTCCATTCCCAACCTTCAGTGAAAACCCAGGGCTGTTTATTTTCACCCTGCCGAGTTTGCCGACTCATTCACTCGTGAACTCAAGGCTGCAGTTTCTGCTTTAAATGTCTCTTCCGTCATCAATGCACAGAATTTGCTGACTGCAATAACACAGGCATGATGAATGTATGGTTTAGATGTATGTGTGTTCGTAGATGCCCTTCACACGTCCAAGTCTAATTCACAGGCAAAAACTCTCTTCTCCTTTTTGGGGGATATTTGCATGTGCTTCCTCCGAGGCATAAATAGTGCCACTGCATCTTTCCAAACTGTTGCTCACGTGTAATGTCACTGGACAGCTCAACACGCTTGGAGGAGAATGCTAATGGTGCATTCACGTTTGCAAATGTTCCATTGTTTTCAACAGAGGCACAATAGAAAAGTCTGCCACCGCAAGCAGCAATGGTCAGCAGACTGCAGCGGTAAGCGAGACGCTCCATCTAAAGTTCCATTTTACCAAGTTTTTTC